CTTAATTGTTTTGGGTTTGTTATTGTTGGTCTTTTCCCTGTCTTGTGTTTCCTGCCTAGAGAAGTTACTTTAGCATTTGTTGTAAAGCTGGTTTGGTGGTGCTGAATTCTCTTAACCATTGCTTGTCTGTAAAGGTTTTAATTTCTCCATCAAATCTGAATGAGATTCTTGCTGGGTAGAGTAATCTTGGTTGTAGGTTTTTCCCTTTCATCACTTTAAATATGTCCTGCCACTCCCTTCTGGCTTGCAGAGTTTCTGCTGAAAAATCAGCTGTTAACCTCATGGGGATTCCCTTATATGTTATTTGTTGCTTTTCCCGTGCTGCTTTTAATACTTTTTCTTTGTATTTAATTTTTGATTGCTTGATTAATATGTGTCTCGGCGTGTTTCTCTTTGGGTTTATCCTGTATGGTACTCTCTGTGCTTCCTGGACTTGATGACTATTTCTTTTCCCATGTTAGAGAAGTTTTTGACTATAATCTCTTCAAATATTTTCTCAGACCCTTTCTTTTTCTCTTCCTCTTCTGGGACTCCTATAATTCGAATGTTGGTGCCCTTAATGTTGTCCCAGAGGTCTCTGAGACTGTCCTTTATTCTTTTCATTCTTTTTTCTTTATTCTGCTCCCTGGAAGTTATTTCCACCATTCTATCTTCCAGCTCACTTATCCATTCTTCTGCCTCAGTTATTCTGTTATTTATTCCTTCTAGAATGTTTTTAAGTTCAGTAATTGCATTGTTCATCACTTTTTGTATGCTCTTTAGTTCTTCTAGATCCTTGTTAAATATTTCTTGTATTTGCTCCATTCTGTTTCTGAGATTTTGGATCACCTTTACTATCATTAGTCTGAATTCTTTTTTAGGTAGGTTGCCTTTCTGATATTCATTTATTTGGTCTTGTAGGTTTTTACCTTGCTCCTTCATCTGCAACATATTTTTTTGTCATTTCATTTTTTTTTTTTTTGATGGTTGGTGCCGTATTCCTGTCTTACTGGTTGTTTGGCCTGAGATGTGCAGCACTGGAGTGTGCAGGCACTTGGGTAGAGCTGGGTCTTGGTGCTGAGATGAGGACCTCGGGAGGCCTCATTCCAATTGATAGTCTCTGGGGTCTGAGGTTCTCTGTTAGTCCAGCAGTTTGGATTCAGAGCTCCCACCACAGGAGCTTGGGCCTGACCTCAAGCCTGGGAAACAAGATCCTGCAAGCTTCGTGGTGCGGTCAAAATAAAAAAAAAAGGAAGAAAGAAAGAAAAAAAGGAACAGTACAATATCTAAAAAATAAAATAAAATTAGAAACATAAAAAATATATTAGGAAAAATAAAACTATAATTGAAACAACTGCAACAAGGTAAAATAAAACCACAACAGAAAAAAGAAAAAAAAAAAAAAAGGTGGGGGGGACAGCCCAAAGGAGAGATCACTAACAAAGTATAAAGAATAAAATAAAATTAGAAAAATAAAAGATTTATTAGGAAAAAAAATATAAAAGAATCAACAACAATGAATCAACAAGGCAAAACAGAACCCCAATCTAAAAGAGGAAAAAAGAAAAGAAAAAAAAAAGTCTTGCCTATGGGGGCAGAGTGTAGGCGGGGGTGGAACTTAGGCAGGGTCAGGGTTTAGGGTGAGGTGGGACCTTCACGGGTTGGGGGGTGACGTTTGAGCATGGGGTGGGGGCCTAGGTTCAGGACCCACACAGTGGAAAAGGCCCTGGGGGCGGGGCCTACGTGGGGCGACGTTCAAGCGTGGGGTAGGGCCTCTGCTTAGGATCTGCACAGAAGGGGAGAGGCAGTGTGTGGAAAGGAGGGCGTCTGGAGTGTGGAGTTCCAGAGTTTGGAGGTAGGGCCCTGAGTGAGGGTGTGTGGGCGGGGTTTAGGCCCAGCATGTTGGAGGGGGGTCTCCATGTGTAGAGGTGGGGCCCTGAGTGGGGTTGTAGGTGCGGGGCTTGGGTTCTGCACTGCAGAAGGGAGGCTCTGAGGGCAGAGGATTAAGCCCCGGAGCCCAGCAGGCTCCCCGGTGCCTATGTGGACAGGGAAAACACTGGCCCCGTTCCCTTACTTCGCACCCCTCCCCCACTGTCTCCCCCAGGGTGTCCCCCGCCCCGTTGGACACCTAACCGTCGGTGGGTCCCACTGGGTGTAGGAACTCCTCCCCTCCCCCAGCAGCCCCTCACGGGTGCTAGTCCCGGAGGTCCAGCCTTTACTTTTGCTCCCCCTTCCCTCCCTCCCACTCCTTCAGGACCCGCCCGGCTGGAGGGGTCCTTGGTGGGCAGAGGATCAGGACCGGGATCTCAACAGGTTCCTGGGGGTCCAAGTGGGCAGGGGACTCCTGGCCACGCTCCCTTTTCATCCTCTGCCCTCCCAGTGGTTCCCCAATTTCTCCCTCCAGGCATGGGATCCCTTCCCTTCCCCCAGTCGCCCCTCAGGGACGTCAGTCGCATCCCACCTCCACTTTTCCTCCCCCTTTACTCCCCACATGCCCCACGTCCTACCCGGTCACTGGGGGTTCCTCCCATCCCTAGGTGTCCGTGGTTCCCCACCGGTGCCTGGTAGGTGCCCTAGTTGTGAGGAGATGCGAATTCTGCATCCTCCTGGTACGCCATCTTGATTCTGCTCCCCCTTTACTAATTCTTAAATCTTTAGTCTTTGTTCAGGAGAAACTATATTAAGGAAATATGAAATAGTATTATATAAGAAAACCTTAAGAATAGAAGCTACAGGGGCTTCCCTGGTGCCGCAGTGGTTGAGAGTCTGCCTGCCGATGCAGGGGACATGGGTTCGTGCCCCGGTCTGGGAAGATCCCACATGCCGCCGAGCGGCTGGGCTCGTGAGCCGTGGCTGCTCAGCCTGCGCGTCCGGAGCCTGTGCTCCGCAACGGGAGAGGCCACAACAGTGAGAGGCCCGCGTACCGCAAAAAAAAAAAAAAAAAAAAGAATAGAAGCTACAAGCTAGAAATAAATTAATATACAAGCAATTTTTATTCATTGATTTATATTAATCAATCAAAATTTAAATGAGTCACCTAAAATTGAATAAGCATAGAGGAGGGATACAGTTATGAGTTTACATAATGAAAAATACCCAAGAATTAGATATATGAAACTGATCGTTAACTTCTCTTGAAAGTAAAAATGTATACATATCATGAGCAAAAATACAAAACACATAACTCTGACAAACCACCTCTGCAAATCTGCATATATATGCTTATGCATAGAAAAGCTATATAAAGGCTCTAAAATAAACTTAATAGTCACCCTTTTTCTTTTATACTTTGATTAAAAGCTAACTTTTTTTTACAACTCTTAATAAATATTAATTAAAATAATTCACTGACCAATTTATATACTGGAATTATTTGAGGCCTATTGGAAATGTTATTTTAAAAATGTCTGTTGCTTTAAAACCATTTAAAAATTTAAAATCATAATATTTTCTGTATTAAAAAAGACAAAGGAGGTAAACTCTTCAATTTCTCTTCAATTATCAAATAATAACTTCTGTTTATGACCCATCGTGTTGGGTCTTCACATGTCAGGGTTATTCACTGAACCCTGACTGTTGCACCTTAGAGTAGCAAGAATGAAGGCCCCTGGAATTATAGTCATGACACAGCTTTTGATGGAAACTATAAAGGAGCATACAGCCTCTGTGTGTAGCTCTGCAGACCTCAGTTACAGAAGTGAAATATCTCAGATGTGCCCTGTCTCAGTTTGTAGTTCTAATGCTGTTTACACAACCTTTCATCCATATATGAATTTTGATATTACCGTGTTCCAAAATGGTCTCTAAAAGATCTAGAACCAAATGCATTGGGTTAAAAGTCATTTGTCTTGACAACTGAGATATAAAAATGGAGATCAGGTTATTAGAAACCTGGTCTCTGTGACTCTTTTATATAAAGGGCTGATGAAAAATCAGTTTTATATGCCCATGGAGCAAGCGGTTTTGTATATTTAGATGAGGGAGGTGGGTTTACAGATTCATCCCCAAACAAAATAAAATATTTACCTTGTTGAGAATATAGACTTTAAAAGCATTTTTTCCTTACTATATCAAAGTGAATGTTTTATACAAGCCACAAAAGGAAAAGACATAATGAACATCTGTGAAATTAAAAGCGAATTACTTTCTGCAGCCTTGACTAAACATCCACTGTAACCTAAAGAGAATGTGTCTGAGTGTACTTGACGTCCTGAAGAATACTATTATACTATTAAAATGCAGATGCTGGTTTCTATCATTTGTAGGTATGAGAACAAAGCTAAATGCAAAAGAATATGCGTAAACTTATTTCTTTAAGACTATGAACTCATTTCTTTCAGACTTTAGTTCTTTTCCTGTAGGGGTGTAGGAGAAAGCAAAAAACGCAACAACAACAAAACCCAATTATTGGCCCTTTTCAGTATGATAGGTACAGGTTGCCAAGGGGCTGTAGTAAAAAGACATAAACAGGCAGACCTGGATTTCAGCCCAGCTCTTATGTAGCTGTGCAGTGTTAAGCTTATCACTTAACCTTTCTGAGCCTTAGTAAACTGGGGTAATACTTACCTCGAAGGTTTGTTACATGTAATCTTACATGTTGTATGTGTTCAGTACATGCTAATGGTCATGCTAACAGATGGAGTTGATTATTGAAGGCATTAAATTAGACCCTATGAAACTGACATTTTTGTAGATTAAAAAATGGCCATACTTCAGATCTCATTGTAAGGTGGTCCCCTCTTAGGAGCCTCAAGGGCACTGTTACAGTGGGGCCACAGTGTAGACGGCAAGGTCAAATTCCTTGGTGAGTTTTCAGTCGATGGTCAGGGATGGCCATATTCATCAGTGACTAGTTTATAAGATGCTGAAATAACATCCACAACCATGGAGCTCGGGTCTCTTCAGCTATCCCACTGCCTACTGCCTACACAGACAAATATTTTATGTTTCACCTAAGTTAGCATGTTAAACTCACTGCATTTGAATGGTTACAGCACTGTTCTAGAGTCACAAGGGCACAACAAGAATGGACACCAGCACACCATTTTGCCCGCCCTTTTTAATAACATCAATAACATAGGCAAGCTTGTCTAGACTTTTGATGATCCATGTACTCTCCTTAAAGCTCTATTTCAAGGTGCTCTCCATATTGTTGATTTCCTTCTGTCACTCTCCTTTGCCCTTGAGGCAGGCGTTTCCGGAAATTTCCACTCAGCAGGATGTAGAGGAAAGGGTTGATGTTGCTGCCGGCATAGCTGAGACAGATGGAAAGGCAATAACCCATATAGAAAGCCAGCGTGGGCTGCTCTGTCTGTAAGTTCACCAGTTGTATCACGTGATAGGGGGCAGCACTCAGGATAAAGACCGCCACCAGCACCAGCACCGTCTTCGTCAGCTTCATCACCCTCTGCCTTGGAACACTGGGACTGTAGCTGTAGCGGAAACATCTGGAGAGACAGGACACAAACAACCACAGAAATTATGGGACAACAATGTCCCAGAACTTTTTGGACAGTTCAGAATGGCTATGTAGTGAAATGTGAAGCTCATTTTTCTTCTTACTTATTTGGAGCACTGTGAAAATACTCTTTTTCAGCCCTGTGAAAAATTGTCTGAATTTTCCAAAGCTGGAACATTTCGAGAAACAAAATAAATTACATAGCAGTGAATTATAATCCAAAGTATCAAATAAAGATATATGAATCTGTACTGATATATAAATGATTGAATAACATGGGAGAGAAGCGACAAACCTTCTTTACAGAAAAATTCCAAATAATATATGTAGATACTCCCCTTTCCAGGAGACACAGCTTAATTCTCACCCTCCTTTCCCTCTTGAGGGTGGGCTATACTTAATGACTCGTTTCCAAATAACGGAATAGAGAAAGGGATAAGTAGTCATTTTGAAGTGAAGAAACCTCGTAAACACTACCTTAACCTTAGAGTCTCATCGTGATACGTTATCAGACAAACCGAGACTGGGGGACATTCTACAGGATACCTGACCAGTACTCCTTAAGTACAGTACTTAAGACTACAAGGTTATGAAAAACAAGGAAAGAGTGAGAAACTGTCACAGACCAGAGGAGACTGTGGCGATGTGTCAACTAAATGCAGTGTGGTCCCCTGGATTGAATCCTGGAGCAGAAAGAGGACTTTAATGGAAAAACCAGTGAAATCCAATATAGGGTAGAGTTTAGTTAATAGCGGTGTACTAATGCCATTATCTTTGTTTTGACAAATGCAACATGGTAAGATGTTAATGGGGAAACTGGAGTGAGGAGTATATGGAAACTCTCTGTACTACTTATGCAAGTTTGATGTAAATTTAAAATTTTTCTAAAATAAAAAATACTTAAATTTCCCAAATTTCATCATGTTATGTCATATTTAGACATTTACTAGAAATTTCTCTGGGACATGACAAGCAGATGAATAAGCCTGGGAAATGGCAGCTGAAAATCACTCTAAGATAATGATTCTTCTGCAGTTCATCAGAGTAGGCACCATCATTCCTCTAACTTATTGCATTTTTAGGGATAACTGGACCATATGAACTTTGTTTTATAAGATGCTCTTAGCATTTCTGAGAAAAGTGTTGGGAGCAAAGTGATCTGATTTGGAGAACTGTTTTAAAAGGGTTCAAGCGTCCTCTCTAGCTGTTGATGTCATAATATTCCATATGATTCCATTTCAACCTTCTCACCCGTGATACATTTAGAAGCTAATTTTTGTCTATAACTGTGGTTGCTTCTCTTTCCCATTCTAAATAGACCACTCTTTTTTTTAAAAAATATAATAGTGTTTATTTATTTTTACTTGTTGACAGTTTGTTTTATTTATTTATTTATGGCTGTGTTGGGTCTTCGTTTCCGTGCGAGGGTTTTCTCTAGTTGTGGCAAGCGGGGGCCACTCTTCATCGCGGTGCGCGGGCCTCTCACTATCGCGGCCCTCTCTTGTTGCGGAGCACAGGCTCCAGACGCGCAGGCTCAGTAATTGTGGCTCACGGGCCCAGTTGCTCCACGGCATATGGGATCTTCCCAGACCAGGGCTCAAACCCGTGTCCCCTGCATTGGCAGGCAGATTCTCAACCACTGCGCCACCAGGGAAGCCCTAGACCACTCTTTAATAATGTAATAATTCCAAAGAATTTAAAGAAGTCAGAAAAAATGTCATGGGCCAATAGAACACCTAAACCTTTGGTACCAGGGTTTGCCACAAATTTAGACTAATGGTGGTTACATTTTTCACATATTCTTTTTTTTTAAATCTTCACAGTGTTACATATGGTGTGTGGGGAAACCCCACAATCTTGTCTTCTCAAAAAAATACAGTAATTTATTCTGAAGACAAATTTTAATAATGATTTTTTAACCTAGCATGTTGTATAATCACTGACTCATTTGAACAACTTGGTATGTACAATTTCAAGTGGAAAATAATTTAGATTTATTCATATAGTTTTAGAGACAAGTATCATTAAAGGTCCTTCCCAAGTTTATTGTCTTTAGGTAAGTCTTTGGTTTTATTTAGTCCTAATTAACCTTGTTCTATGTATTCAAATATTAATGAGATCCTCCCCCCCATGCTAAAAAAAAACCCACAAAAATTAAAAGGTTATAAAATATACACAACATCTAGGATATTTACATATGTACACAACTCTGCAAAATGTACAAATAAAACATTTAAATAACAATGTTGATGACAAATACAAAATTATTCTTTAAGCAGAGTCTTGAGTTCTGTTTACATTTTTATGAAACCATTACATCAGTGATTACAATAATTATCACTGAGAGATCCTCAAATAGCTGCTTCAGAACATGACTTATTTTCAGAAAATGCCTTGTAGAGACATTAATGCCCATATGTCTGAGCTTGGCATGTTTCAAGTGACTAATGCTTAAGCTTCTACTGTAGACATCTTAGATCTCTGAATTGTTCTTTTAACAAATAAAACAAAATAAGGCATACACTTACCATCTGGCAACCTTATTCTGTTGATACATCTCCCAGGTATAGCATAAAATTAAAATATAGCACACCAAAATCAAGGGCAAAGGGAAAAAGAAAGCCGTTATCGTCAAATACAGAGTATACCTGTAAAATGAGAGAGAAGACATGACTGTTACATTCACAACGCTAGGGACTTTTACAGTTTATGATTCTGTGATTTTTCAGGGCCCGGAATAAAAGTGCTTGGGGGAAAAGTTAAGGCTCTCTGGGTACTTTCACATACAGAAGGTCCGCTTTTCATTATTCATAGACAACAACTCTTCTCTAGCCAGCTCTTCTCAGTAGCCAATGCTACTGAGTACTGCAGAGTGGGTGAGGGTGCTTATTACCATTATATTTAGTGTTATTAACAACAACAGGCAACAGGTGGCATTTGTTATGTAGTAGGCACTATTGAGGGTGCTTTACATATTTTAACCCATTGAATCTGTGCATCCCCAGGAGTACAATGCCATTAGCATCTTCATGTTACGGAGGAGGAAACTAAGGCACAGAGGGGTTGAGCGGCTTGCCCAAGGTTACTCAGCTAGTAGGTGGCAGAGGTGAGATTTGAACCCAGATACTCAGGCCAGCTCCAGAGCTCACGCTTGTAACTGAGACTCCAGATGGCCTCTCAAAGGGCACAGAAGAGGACCTGTTGTCAAATCAGCCGGTCATTTTCTCAGTGCTCCGCCAGGGGGAACCCTTGGGTGGGCCAACTCCATTTCTGCCCAGATACCGGGTATCCTCCTTCCGGGGCAAAACCCTTATGTGGAAGAAGGCAGCTGGCATTGGGTGGGTGTGGACTGGGTGGCAGAGAGAGCGCTCCGCCAGAGGGCCTCTGAACGTAGCACACTAGTCCCAGTCTCCGTTCACCATAAGGACTTAATTCTGGCAGGAACAACAGAGGCCAGAACCTCAGAATATCCCTTACCATAACCAACCGAAAAGAGCAGAAACAGCTGTCGCTGCAAAATAGTCTCTGCTTATGTGACACAGGCCAAAGTCATGTAGTCATATAGTGAGCTTCAGGTCCTGCCCTCCTTTCAGACCGGGGTGCGGCCAGGTTAATTTATCAGCCCACGGTGATTAACTATCATTTCACCTTTAGATGAGCTGGCGCTTTCTGTCTGTGAGTGGAGCCACTGCTGTTGTGAGAGATAATGAATAAACAATCATGGTATCGACGTTGCACTCCTCTGGAGATTTTTTTGTTGCTGGATTCGTAGCCTTGCTGGGCCTCTACCTCCATCCCTCTCAGACTGTGTCTATGTGATTCAGAAATGACTCATCTATTTGACAAGTGGTAGACTGGGAAAAAGGGATCTGCCAGACTGACTTGCCATAATGTATGTAAAAAGCACCTAGCACAGTACCTGGCCCTTAGCAGGTGATCGAAAAATCTTAGAGATTCTAATGCTGTGTTCAAAATTTCAATCAGAAAAATTTCGCCTTAATTTTTCTTTTCAAATTAAGATGTAATAAATGACTGTGTTGGTTGCTGTATTAGTTTCCTAGAGCTGCTGTAACAAATTACCACACACTGGATGGCTTAAAACAACAGAAATTTACTGTCTCACCGTTCTGGAAGCTGGAAGTCTGAAATCAAGGTGTTGGCAGGGTTGGTTCCTTTTTGAGGTTTTGAGGAGGGAGTATGGGCTCCAGGACTTTTCTCCTAGCCTCTGGTGGCTTCTGGCAATCCTTGGTGTTCCTTGGCTTATAGACACATCACTCCAGTCTTTGCCTCTGTCTTCACATGCATCCTCTCTGTGTCTCTTCAAATCTCCCTCTCCTTATCAGGAACCAATCATCGGATTTAGGGCCCACCCTAATCCAGTAAGACCTCATCTCAACTTGATTATATCTGCAAAGACTATTTCTAAATAAGATCGTATTCACAAGCACTGAGAGTTAGAACTTGGATATATCTTTTCGAGGGATGCGACTCAACCAAACTCCAGCTGCATATTGATAAGGTTTGAGTCTCATAACTCCTAGACCCTTTTGGAAAGTCTGCCCCTCCTTTGATTGCTGTGCTCCTATTGAATCTGGCTGCCATGGATCTTTAAAATCCACATTTAAATATATTTGCACCCACTGAGGTTACATGATTAAACTCAGAATCTTCTTCTAAAGGTTACCCTCTCCTTAAAATCAAACTATCAACTTGATGGTGGGAAGCAGAGAACTAAGTGGGGAGACCGGCCCAAAGAGGATCCCCAAGGACACTCTTCGCGGTTGCTCACGTGTTGACAAGGAGGATGAAGCACTTCAAGATTTAATTCAACTCTATTTTTCTTAAGTTTTAACAACCTACCAGAGTACATCGTCAGGTGATGTTAAATCAAAAGCACAACTCTCAACGCCGTCATTAAATCTGATGACCTTCGAGTAGACCCAGTCAGGCAACGCAAGAATAAAGGAAGCTGCCCAAAGGCCCAGGTTGATGCGGCTTGTCTTGTACCTTGTTCTCCAACTCGTCAGTCTCGGTTGGACAAGAGCCAAGTACCTGCAAAGCCGGTTAAGGAAGGGTTTGGGAACAATCAATAAAAGCACTGAGCTCCAAGGATGAAAGGTTCATGACAAGAGTAAATTATTAGTATTATTATCCTCCCTGAAGCACACCTCTATCAGGGTGAAAGAAAGTTATATTTTTTAAGAGCTGGATGGTACCTGTAGAGAAAACAATTCTTGACCCCGTAAGTCTGAATAAACCACTCACGGATACACAGCTGTCACTTACATGAAGACCCTGAAAATGGTAAGATTGTGCTGTGCAAACTTTTTCTTTACAGAGGTGCTTCCCTTGCACAAGAGGCTCTGGAAAACTTTGTCTCTGAATGGGGATTTCCTCCAGGAGGGCAGGACAGGAGGGAGGGTGTACCAATGTGGGACAGGAGGGACGGTGGCTGATGTAGGACAGGAAAGAGGAAAGTGCGTTGGCTGGTGGGAGAATCCCCAGCAGCATGAGATTCAGGCACCTGGGACAGACATTTTGCTCAGATGGCTTTAGAGTTAGTTCCCCAGGCTCTTGGAGGCTCAGTTCACAGAAATCACAGTGAGAATTAACAAACGTGACTAGCAGACAATACAAATTCCTCAGGAAACGTAGGCTGGAGGGGGGATGTGGACTAATTTCATGGGGAAGGGGTTCTCTCTTTTCTTTTTTTCTATTTTGATCCAGAAAAAAGGATAATCATTAATCAAACTTGAAATCCTGATATATCAAACATATTTGGTCCTCCAGCAAATCCAAGAATAATTTTTCAGACACAGCTGAAAGCTAAAGCATGAAAAAGAGAGCTCAGATCCAGAGGAGATACTTGAGAAAACACAGTTTTGCTGGCAGTCGGGGGTGTAGGAAAGCAGCATTAGTAGATAATAAACAAATGTCAAATGTGGTCAGTGGTCCTTTAATTTTCTCCAAGATTTTGTAGAGCTACTTAATGAAGATTTATGAAAATGGAAAATTCTCTGTCTCCTTGCTCTTTCAATTTTGCACAAGAGGTAGGACGTTTTGCACTCACTTAGGGGACCCCTTGCCATGCAGGGACAGGCTTGTGACCCCGGGTGCCTCAGCCACCCCTCCTTCCCCACACTGCACCTGCGTTACCTGTCGCTAAGGAGAGAAAGCTCCCTTCCCTTCCTGCTGAGGAAGGGAATGAAGTAGTGATTGTACAGCAACCCTGCCATCATTCTGTCTGGGATTAAAGATGGAGTCATGGCATCAATCGGTTAGGGAATCTTCTCTCATCATCTCCCCAACTGAAAACCCTTCAATGGCCTTTCTTTGTCTTTTAGATAAAATTCAGAATTCTCACCATGACCCTTGATGTCTTTCTCCCTCCGGCCCTCCCTGTCACTCAGGCTGAAGTTTGTGCCAGTCTCTCCCTGGCCTTCATTCAAACTCTGTCTCTTTCAGCGTCAGGTACATGCTGTTCTACCCGCCTGGCAGGACGTGCCTCTCCTTCCTCCTGCTTCTACTGTGGGTCCCCATTTAGGTCTCCCTCTCGGAGAAGCTTCCCCTGACCACTCGCTCTATACGAGGGCCCATGACTATAAATGCGGATTGTGGGGCAACTCTACTTTTCCTTCTAGTAGGTATCATTGTGTGGAAATACATATTTACCCCTGTGGCTCTTCACGGTGTAATGTCTGTCTACACCTCTGGAATGGAAGCCCCATGAAGGCAGGAGCCTTGGCTATTAGTTTAATGCTGCTGTGTCTCCTGTGTCTGGCATCGTTCCTGTCATACGGTCTGTGCTTAATAAATATTTGTTAAATGAATGAATGGGGAATTTTGGCTCCTACTTACTGACTTTGTTGTTGTTCTAGAAAATTTACTTACGAAAGTAACCACTAATGAAAGTCTAGGTAGCTTTCACCTAAAGGCAAATATTTTTCATATTTTGGATGTTTATAGAATTTTTTTGTATTGCTTTAAAGGTAGGAGCCCTCTCTTAAAATATTCCACACACTTGCAGTTATTAATTAATCAGAGAAAGAAAAATGAAAGAGTTATGGGAAACACTTGAGTTTTATGATCCATTAAATTGACAGTTCAAATAAATGTATAAACAATAAGGCATACTGGTGGCACTGACATTAAGTGCTGGCATTACAGAGAAAACTTCATTTCTGTTTTACAGAATTATAGATTTTGTTGAATTTTTGTGAATTTAGTAGAGTTAGAACTGCAAGAAATGACAGGGGCTGGGGGAAAGTTTCAGTTTTACAAAATCTTTATTTGTCTCTGGCCACGTGATCCTCTAAAGTGAGGGCAGGGAGAAAGATAAAGGCCTGAGTGTCTTAATTTGAAAGTAAAATTTTAGCATTCTGTGTCCATAAGGTTAAAAGAAAAATACACACTATTCAGTTGTGTAAGATACACACACACACACACACACACACATACACTCAGAAAAAACCTGTGAACATTAGGAAATGTTCTGTGGTCTGTTCTAAGGCAGACAATGCGCTTTCACTTTATTTGCAGTAAGAGGTTTACCGAAGGGGTACAGTTTCCCCTCTTTAAAGAAAAAGCCGATACTCTCCTGCCTTCATGGTATGTACATGGTATGAAGAAGATTTTCTCCTTCTGAGAATGGGATCACGATGGTGAGGACTATACTTTAGGTTGCTTTTCTACAGTGGTTCCTGCCCCGCACAGGGCTCTGGTGTTGGAACCCTGGCAAGCTCACCAGGCTTTACTCCACACACCATCAGCATTGGCGGCATCAGCTGAACTAACCAGGTCGACTTACCCAGCGTGCAGATTAAAAAATGTGAAGCTAAGTATAAGTTGAGAAGTATACTCTACATATTTTGATAATTCTTTTGTAGAAAAGCAGCAGGATATAAAAACTGCATTAAACATTACCATCATTATTCACGTCTGAATAATAATGATCCAGGGAATGATTTATATGGACCCCGCTATTCCTTTGTTTATCCATCTGAAGAACTGCTCATCCCTTCCTGACCCCAAAGGCCCACTTGGAAGGGTAAGAGAGGCAGAGCTCAGGAAAGAGTCCTTGATGGACTCAGGGAAATTTAACACAGCCCTCAAGACTGACATTCACTCATTCATTCATCAGTAGTTTTTGAGCACCCATGTGCCAGGCATTGTTACACAGACACTAGTGTAGTGACCAAAGACCCTGCCTTTGTGGAGTTTACATTTGATGGCCAGGGAAGGCTAGACAAAAACAACACACATGCATATCTTTGTACACGAAATATATTAACATATGTAATATATTTGAAGCAAGGGAGAAAGAAAAAGTAGATCAGAGCAAGGGGGACCAAGTGTGCTGGGTTGGGCTTGGGGTGGGAAGAAGGTGGATAGAGATTTCAAGTGGGTTGCTCTGTTGTGCTTTCTACTGTTGTCTTCAGGGCTTGTTTCTGTTTGGGGAATGCTGCTAAGAGCAGTTGTGGAGGTTCTTGCATCTGGGTGATGCAGGGCACATCCTAGCTTGCATGCTTCCTAAAGAAACCAGGTGGTGAGGTAGTTGCCAGCTACCTGCCATCTCCAGAGTTGGACAGCCTGCCTCTGAACTGGGCTCCATCACTCACTGGCTCCACAGGCTCTGGCCGTCACCATTATCTCCTTGAATAACATTAGCTTACATGGGTGGAGAATCTGGCTTTGGCATGTTCTGGGATACAGTCCAACAAATTTCTAATGATGTAAATGGCAGTATTTGCATTAACCAATCATAATGATGAGTATAAAGGATGGTCCTCCTGGTACTCTGACTTCTCTTCATAGCTGTTTAAGAGCCCACTACTCCACTGATTCCTTTAAGCTGCTAGGTGATAACAAGGGTGTGTGAGACATTGAACTTACCAGAAAGAGCCCTAGACAAGGAGTGAGGAGACCTACTTCAGTTCTCAGCTCTGCCACTGACTCTCTATGTGCCTTTAGCAAATCCCCTCACTTCTCAGGACCTCTGCTTCCTTCTTGCAAGAATGATGGGTGGTGGTGGGGCATTCATTCTGGTCTCCAATATTTCATGATTTTATGGTCTTTTTTTTTTTTTTACATCTTTATTGGAGTATAATTGCTTTACAATGGTGTGTTAGTTTCTGCTTTATAACAAAGTGAATCAGTTATACATATACATATGTTCCCATATCTCTTCCCTCTTGCGTCTCCCTCCCTCCCACCCTCCCTATCCCACCCCTCCAGGCGGTCTATGGTCTTTTTTTTTCTTGCAGTCAATTGTAAATAAAACTGAGATAGAAAAAATGATTGGGAAAAAGGAGATGTTTAGTGTTTTAAGTTTTCCATGAAAAAATTGACCTCTGTGAAAGTTGGAAAAATATTACCTGATCTGTCCTACAATGAAACAAACAAAGGAAGAGGAACTTTGCTATTACAAACCAGCACTGATGTTGCTTAAGTTGGGATGACCTTGGGGAAGTACAGGCATCTCTGAATTATGTTAATATATTTCATAGTCTCTTCACTTACCTGTCCACACTCATTACAGTCATGATGGCACTACAGGCAAACTGGTTGCAGGTATCCAGGGATGTGATGTTGGTGCAGAGAGGCCCCCCAAACACCCACTCTCCTCCCCGGGCCCACTGGTGAATAAGAAAAGGCATTCCCATGATGTGGACCAGATCAGCCACAGCCAGGTTGCAGATATAAATGTCAGGAATTGTTTTTTTTCCTGGACCTGAAAGAAATGGAGGGAAACCCGAGGATTGACATTGAAAGTACACACCTTTAATTTATGCCCTCTCTTACAGATTTTCAACTGCTAACATTATTTTAAAAGTTAAAAGGAAACTGTCACAAATGCACATATGAATGCTTTGTGTATATGCAGACGTTCTGAACTATTTGATAACTAACTGCAGTGGCTTAAAAATATGTCCATAACTTCTTTGATATTGCTTTCAAGAGCGGGGGCCTAGGGCTTCCCTGGTGGCGCAGCGGTTGAGAGTCCGCCTGCCGATGCAGGGGACACGGGTTTGTGCTCCGGTCCGGGAAGATCCCACATGCAGCGGAGCGGCTGGGCCCGTGAGCCATGGCCGCTGAGCCTGCACGTCCGGAGCCTGTGCTCCGCAACGGAGAGGCCACAACAGTGAGAGGCCCATGTACTGCAAAAAAAAAAAAGAGCGGGGGCCTAATTCCCTCCCTTTGAGTGTGGGTTGAACTTAGTAACTCACTTCTAACGAATAGGACGTGGTGGAATTGACAGTGTGACATTCAAAATTTGGACATAAAGGAATGGTGGGGTTTTCTGCTTGCTCTCTCTTGTATCACTTTCTCCGGGGGAAGCCAGGTGCCGTCTTGTGAGGTTACTCAACAGCACCGTGAAGAGGTCCATGTGGAAAGGAACTGAGACCTCCTGCCAACAACCAGTACCAACCTGCCAGACCTGTGAGTGAGCTCCCTTGGAGTAGATGCTCCAGCCCTAGCCAAGCCTTTAGATAGTCCTCTAAAGATGGACAGACAGCTTGACTGCAACTTTTTGAGAGACCCTGAGCCAGAACCACCCAGCTAATCTGCTCTTGGATTCCTGACCCTCAAAACTGTGTGAGAGGGACTCCCCTGGTGGCACAGTGGTTGGGAGTCCACCTACCAATGCAGGGGACACGGGTTCGAGCCCTGGTCCAGGAAGATCCTACATGCCGCAGAGCAGCTGAGCCCGTGCGCCACAACTACTGAGCCTGCGTTCTAGAGCCTGTGAGCCACAACTACTGAGCCCGTGTGCCACAACTAATGAGCCTGCACACCTGGAGCCTGTGCACCGCAACAAAGGGGGGCCGCCACGATGAGAGGCCCGTGCACTGCAGTGAAGAGTGGCCTCGCTCGCTGCAACTGGGGAAGGCCCGCGTGCCGCAGTGAAGACCCAATGCAGCCAAAAATAAATAAATAAAAATTAAAAAAACAAACAAAAAACTGTGTGAGATAACAAATGTTGATTGTTTTAAGCCACTAAGTTCTGAAGTAATTTCTACATAGCAACAAATTATACCAACTCTAAACTCACTCAGGCAAAAGACTTTGTCTTTACCTATCCCTAGCACCAAATATAGCTGAATAGGGAAAATAAATGTTTCCATCTTGCAATGCATTTTTTCCCCCACTGAAGCTGTAAGTTCAAATCCTAACTGAGGCCATTGTTAAAACAAATTTCGACCATTACTTAGAAATATTCCAATAAAATTTAACTCAATAGAAAAGACTATTAATTAAGACCCTGAAATCCAGAGTGTGGAGTAGAAATCTGAAACGAGTGAATTGGTGGAGGGCACTGAGAAACATCTCCTGTCAAATGTTGGGGGAAGTGAAGGCAAAATAATTTTCTGAGAGCAGAAATTTAAAATTCAGTTACTCCCTATCTTCAAGGAGTTGGGGCATTCAGTAATAAACAGGTATCATCTTTATCTGGGAGATGCTGTTTATTAATTGAACAAACGTTTTATTGAGCAGCAATTATATGTCAGGCATAATATTGTGCTTTGGGCTGCAAAGCTAAATCACCTAGAAAGTCTAACATCAAGGAGCTTATAGTCTAGACGTGTAATAAATGATCACATTATAATGTGATGAAAGAAAGCTAGAGAAAGCACAAGGAGCGCATACAAATGGGCCTCTACACCCTCCCCTGGGGGCAGTCAAGGCAGATTTCTTGGCAGAAGTGACCTCTGTATTGAGGACAGATAAGAATTTAAGTAGCACATAAGAATTAGCCCTAAGATTGTGCCACAATTATTAGTTCACCCTGGATCCAGGTCTATTGCTCTGTTGTTTGGAAGCTAGTGTGTGTCTTCATTATTCAGGGACTGCAAATTCTACAGCCTGTGAACTTCATATTTAAGCCATCAAAGGCTCGTGTGAGGTGTCAGTCGGGGCCAGGATATTTTACCCAGGCCGTGGCAGCACACACTATATGGGGGAGTTACTGCTGTGAGTCCTTATTTAGCAACCACACTTTGGGCATTGTTGATGCCACTAATACAGCAGGTTGGTTCCTTGTCCCCAGGACGTTGGTGGCTCAGATCAGAAAGACCAAGAAGGAGAAGAGACTTGAGAAAAAAAACATGTCCATCAAAAAAGATGCTAAATGACTGTCCTTGGTCTCTAATCCTCATCCTCACCAGACCATTGGGAGTAGGAGATGGAGAGGGCTCAGGGGAGAGGAACTGATATTAGAGGTCAGCTGGAAGGAGTTCCACGCTAAAAAACAAAAACAGAAGCAAAGGGACTTCCCTGGTGGCGCAGTGGTTAAGAATCCGCCTGCCAAAGCAGGGGACACAGGTTCGAGCCCTGGTCCAGGAAGATCCCACATGCCATGGAGGAACTAAGTCCGTGCGCCACAACTACTGAGCCCGTGAGCCACAACTACCAAAGCCTGTGTGCCTAGAGCCCATGCTCCACAACAAGAGAAGCCACTGCAATGAGAAACCCGCTCACTGCAATGAAGAGTAAGCCCTGTTCGCCAGAGCTAGAGAAAGCCAGCGCACAACAACGAAGACCCAGCACAGCCAAAAATAAATAAATAAAAATAAATTAAAAAACAAAGCAAAAACACAATAATAAAAAATCCTATAAATCTTTGCCTATTAAGTAGATGTTATTTCCATTTGAACTGGGGTATAAACCACAAGTGGTTGCTTAGGTCCTAACTGCAGCAATTAGATCCATGGCCCTTGCTCTCCTCCAGGTAGGCACCCATCATTTACTGATAATGAATTATGGAAATTCCTTTGTTGAGGACAGTGCATGCCATTAACTGGAAATACAAAAGAATAAAATAAAAGTGTTTCTACATGATACTCTGTATAGCAAAAGAGAATTCTGAAGCAAATGATATATCTATCTGGGCATAAGGTACTAGGGTAATAAAACTAACACATTATATTTATTATTACTTTTTTAAACTGAAAGTGACTGCATAGAAATTAAAAATAATTAAATAGAAATGGTAAAATTTCTAACTATACCACTTGCATTCTTTTCTTAGGTCTAATTTATCTTCAGATTTCATGTTGCCAGACTTAATTAGATTTCTGTCTCTCATGAACCAAACATTAAAAAAAATATGTAAATCAGTGATCATTTCAGCTAACGTGTTTTTCATATGGTTAATATGGCCATATCTAAATGCTATGATAAATTAAGGTATACCACAATCCCATACAATAAATGATAGAGTTGTTACAAATCATACTTTGGAAGAATATTTAATCAAATGAGAAAGTACTTATTAAGTAAAAAAAAAAAAAATCAACTATGTACGTAGTATGACCCCAAATTTATTTAGACATTTGTCTAAAAACATGCTGAAATAATATGTCACAGTAATGCCAGTCATTATCCACTTGGTAGTAGTAGTATGACTGATTGCGACTTTATTCTTTGTATATTTTAATGTTTAAAAAGATTCTATTAAAAACATGTTTACCTTTTGCAATCAGAAACAGCGATATATGCAATGGGTTAAATAAAACAAAAAATATATATATAACCCCACACAAGCAGAATGATGCCTTGCTGATCAGCCTACTCTCAAGCCCACTTTTCACCCTTCTGCACTTTGTTCCTAGGTCTTCTTGCCAACTGGCTTTTGTTTTGTTTTGGCCAATAGGAAGCACTATTGGAGGGAAATTGGAGGGTAAGATGAGAGGAGAGGCCAGGGTATTTCCTTCCCGTCTCTGCTGTTGGCATCTCTGGTGGTGGCTGCATCCCGCCCATGGCTCCACCTTCCTCCTGCAGTTCCCGCGCCATGGTCCCAGATCCCACTGTGGCTACAGCTCCCACCAGGCAGCCCAAACTTCCAAGATCTGTAAAACCACTTTTTTTCCCTCCATTCAGCTCAGGGCCAGGAGAAGGGTGGTGGTGTTGGGGCAGAGGATGGTGGTAGGACATGGTAGTACCTTCCTAATTTTGTTTATCTCTGGGTTGCCTCACGTGTCCTTGTTTGGCATTTAACTCTAGTTAAATTATATTCCTATTGTGAGTGTAAAAATTAATAAACAGAAACCTCAATTAAAATGGAGTCGGGAGGCCAGAAGCGGGGAGCTCTCATGCCCTACGATAGCAGAGATCAACAGAAGAAAGACTTCTTGCCTGGCAGGAGCTTAGCCAATGAGAGACTGTCACCACTCAGCCAGTGACAAGCCACTATATTTTGAGCTCTCAATTTCTCCAGTGGACTCTGTTTACTACAGCCCTCCCAACTTCCTTTCCCCCTCTGTAAAAGAATCCTCCTCTCTCTTTTGGGTGGCACTTGCATGTGGCTTGCCATAGTTGCAGATACCCAATTGCAATACTTTGCTGATCTTGAGTAAACTAATTTCTGCTTCAGAAATAACTGGTAGTTCATTTGTTTAAGGTCAGCATGAGGCAACACCAATGGATTAGTAGTGATTTCATAAAGCACTGTGCTGAGAAGAATTGTGAGTCATCACACAGGCGCTACTAAAGGACAGATCTGTGTGATTAGACATGACTGCCAAGGGTGGGAGAGTTTAGAGTAGAGTGACGTATTTGCCAACCCTGCTCTAGATACACAGTGTAAGATATATAAAGAGAACCTAATTGGAAATTCTAGTTTCATTTCTGTGCCCTCACTTATTGTGTCCTTGGGGAAGACATTCAACCCCTTTATACTCCAGAGCTGTCTTGGTGCATTGGACCAAAGCAAGGGTCTCCAAT